AGTGGGGTGTGGGGCAAAACGGTGGAAAACCAAATTCTAGCCAATTCATATGTATGAACTTGTATAACTAAAATTTATTCCCAGATTCATATGTATAAAACTTGTAAGAATAATTTTCTAAATTTTTACCACTTGCAAAATTTTTTCTAACAAAATGATATAAATTATGTTACGAAATTTGTCACATAAATATAATAAATGTTAATGAAATAATTGAATTTTTTTTAAAGAAAACATGAGTTACACGCCTCTTTTTAAAACACTTGTTTAACTAGTTTTTGATGTTCAAATGATATTCATTTGAAACATTCAATATTTCTATGATGTTTACTAGTCAAAGAATTTTCTTTTAGTGCTTTATGTGATACATGTGCAAATGTTAATTTACAATCTTTATTTGTCAACAGAAAATTAGGACTTGGAGAAGTAAAGAAAATAACGTTATCACTTTAGCTGGCCAATAGAAGCATCAAATGTCAAAGATGCAAGGTTGAGGATGTATTCATTAAAGCTGAAAATTTGATATTTCTGACAGACTTCCTCGTTCTTGACATAGAAGAAGATCAAAATATTCCAATAATCTTGGATCGACCTTCCTAGCAATCGGTCAAACCTTGATTGATATGGAGAAATATGAGTTAACATTGAGGATGGATGATGAACAAAAAGTTTTTAAATTATACAATCCATCCAAGCAACCATAGGACCTCGAGCTATGCAACTATATCGATGAAGATGATCCACGAAGTTTTCAGAAGAGAAAACCAAAAGTTAGTGGAATCTAGATGGACATAAGAAAGAGTTCAATGTTTGAAGAGCAAAAAGAAGATGAAGGGCTGAAAATTGCTACAAGTGCAATGTCAAAAAACCCCAATGCCAACTCTCATGAGTAATCATGTTGCAAAGTCTAGCTAAAGACATTAAATTAAGCATTTATTAAGAGGCAATCCAATTTCTTATCTTTTTATTTATTATGCTTTATGTATTTGTATTGTATGTAGTTTATTATGCTGGATTAGTTTTGGACACATTTTTTATTTAAATAAAAGGGCCATCATATCCATTCCAAGCATTGAAAAAATTTAGTCAAAAACAATAGAAAAAACATGTAGTGCATTTTTCAAGGCTTTAAGGGCATTTAAAAAAAAACTCGTTATCGTACACTTCGCGTCATAACTTTTAAACTATTTCTTGACTCTTATATTTGTTTTCTTCTTCCAAAGGTACAAAGATATCAAATAGGACGTAGCTTGACAAGTTGACTGTACTAATCCAACATGTTTCCCTCCATCATCAAATAAAAATCCAAGGATTACCTTATTTTCTTTTTTTTTTCCTCGCCCCTTTATGTTGCTATATTATACTTTGAGATATTAAGAACAATATCTACTTTAAATTTGGGGGTGGAAAAAATAATGAGTTTTTATTTTATTTTTCTTGTTAAATTTGTGTGGTTTTATTGTTTTATTATATATAGAATTTTATTTATTTTTTTTGTTTATTTGCTTCCGTGGACTAGGTAGTCTTGTTGACAATGATGAATATATTTGAAAATTATGTGTTGACTTATGAATTGTGAATATTTATATGCTTAGCTTAATAAATGCTTTTCCATGTAAGACTTGATATTATATATGCACGTGAATTAAGTTTGATAATATGAAGCAAAACCCAAAAAAAAAGAAAAAAAAGACTACATTATACATCTTTAGACCAAATTAAGCATAGCTTGGAGGTGAGTTAACTGTTGTAAGAAGATAGGAATATGAATGGATATTCTCTGAGTTTAAATTCTTTTGTGAATTATCTAAGATCAATGGAGTAAAATTATTTGAAAATCTTAAATTAAATATCGATTTTTTTGAATGAGTGTTTAATGAGGGCATTGCACTAATCATGGTAAAAAAGGGAAAAAAAAGACTTTTTATTGTGAAAAGTTTTTTCATAACCTTTATGACTCGAATAATTAAGATAGAGTATTTAAAACTTGGTACCCTAGAGTCATTAGTCAAAAGCACGTTACAATGATCATTTAGAAAGCTTAATAGAGAGAAGTCCGTACATATAAAAAAAAAAAAAAAATCTAAAAAAGTAAGTGCATGAAACAGAAGATGCACAACATGCCTTGATTAAGTCTCAAATATATGTTTTTGGTGAAACATGATTTATTAAATTCATGAATACCGTTGGAGCATTAGTCAAACCGAATGGCATAACAGTGAACTCATAATGTTCATAACGAGTTCTAAAAGCCATATTGGGTATATCACTTGTCTTAACCTTCAATTGACGATGTCGAGATCATAAGTTGATCTTGGAAAATACATTAGCCTCTTTTAATTGATCAAACAAAACTTCAATTCTCGGTGGGATATCTATTCTTGATGGTTAAATGGTTCAGCTCCCGATAGTCAACACATATTCTTATACTTCCTTCTTTCTTTTTTTACGAACAACATTGGTGTGCCTCATGGAGATACACTTGGTCGAATAAAGCCACTGTCTAACAATTATTGTAATTGAATTTTGAGCCCCTGAAGTTCCTTTGGAGCCATTCTATATGGGAGCTTTAGATACTAGTATCAATCCAGGAACCAAATCTACTGTGACCTTCACCTGTCTATCTGGTGGAGTACCAAGTAGATCTTCTGAAGATATATCTATAAATTCTAATACCACTGATACGTCATCAATCTTTATCATTGCTAGTTTTCTTCTGAGATGTTAACTAGAGACCTTTAATATATTTTTTTTCTCAACATTTTTTTAGCTTGCAAGGCCGATACTAGTTCGGGATGAGGTTTAGTCTTTATTTTGAGAAAAGAAAATTTTCCCTTCTCTTGGTTTCTGAAAAAATACTTTCCTTTCTCTACAACGAATGGTTGCATAAGTACATCTCAGCTAATCCATGCCCAAAATCACATCAAAGTATTTTATCTTTATCATGTACAAATTAGCTTTTAATGTTTTCTCCTCAATTTCAAGATTCACCGACATAGCTAACTGATCTGTAATTAATGTTCTTCTAGAAGGAATGCTAATTTCTAGTGTATTTTCTAACTTTATAAGCAATACTAGATTTAGCAATGAAATACGTTGATACAAAAGACTGAGTAGCTTCCGAATCAAACAGTACATAAGCAGGTGTGTTAGATATCACTAAAATACCTGCTATTACTTTTGAGTCCTCTTCTGTATCCTTTTGAGTTAGTGTTAAACTCGTGCTTTCCCCTTTTTGTTCTGATCACTGTTATCATCCTTCTTCTAAGTAAATATGAGACTATCATTAACAATATATCCTGGTTTATCACACCTAAAGTAGGCATTCTTCTCATACAAGTATTCACCATGATGAGGTTTAACACACTCAGGGCACGATACTACTACAACACTAGATCCAATATTTGCTTTATTATTTTGATATTTTCTAGACCATTTCACTTCCTTTTTCCAATTTACCATTTATGCCGCTGGCTGTACAATTGACTGTATTGCTCTGCATTAGCTTTCTGATACCAAATAATGTGAGCTCGTTCTAGCATCTCACGGTATGATGTAAAATGATGTAACATAAGAATCATGCTTAGGTCTAGGTTTAACCCTTGCTCGAACCTTCAAGTCTTCCTAATTTCTGTGTCAACCAAGTATAGAATATACCTTGAAAGTTGGTTGAACTTTCGCTCGTAATCAACCAGGGACATACTGTTCTACTTTTGCTGAAGGAATTTGCTCTGTCTGAAATCTCTTAGAGATTGAGGAAAATACTTGTTCATCACTTTCTCCTTGAATTGTTCCCATGTTAACACCAATTGCTGCTCCGGGGTCCTAATTCGGGACATGGAATTCCACCAGTGACTTGCATCATCGATAAACATAAACTCCACACACTGGACAAGTCCGTAGCATCTACCAATTTCACCAGATCCCCCTTCCCTTTGTTTTGAGATTAGGATTTGTTTTGGGCCTCAGTGTAGTCTACGAGTCAAAAAATTCATTCTAACTTACAAAATCATTCCTCAACTACTAGTAGACCAGATGCTCCATCGAAGGTAAGGATTTAAGCTTTCAAAATAGCTCAACTACCGAGGAATGGCCGGGAGAGTAATAGGGGCTGGTGGTGTGGATGGAGCTTGAGTTTGATTCAGCTTGCCGCGATCTTGAACCACTTGCAGGAGATCCATTATCAAATTGTTCTCGTTTGCTTGAGATGTTTTCCTTGAAATAAAAAATAGTATCTTTTATTAAATTTGTATACCAATATCAGAATACTTAGAATCAAAGGGCAAATTGAAATAATTCATGACTTGATCACATGACTGATTTTTTACCACTTCTTGATATAGAAAAAAGTATTCGAAAAATTTTATTATTATTATTTTTTTTGTAAAATAAACGAGAAATCTCTATAAAATCTACTCGTTTCACTCTTGGTCTTCTTCTAAATCCTCCTCTAGATCTTCTTCTTTATCTTCATTTGCATTTGCCATAATTGGTTGTGCAACTTCATCATCTAAAGTCATTAGTCAGTTCAGATCCTGAGTGGGAGATAACATTACTAATCATAGTCTTCCAATTATGGATATAAACGTTGCAAAAATTCTCAGAGTCAAGTTCTTTAGGTTTACTTTCCGAAATTTGAGATAGCATATTTTTTTATATAAGCTTCCCGATACATTTTTCACAAGGTGTAAAAGTTTCTAGTAGATGACCTATAGCCTGTCGATTATTAATTTTGTAACTTGCATTCTTTGCTTTTAGCCAATATTGGTATACGCTTCGTATGTGGTTGTCAAGTGCTAAAGATTCTCTACCTCAAAATCAAGGTAAAATTGAATATCTATTGCTTGTTGAGTAACATGATTCCTTCTCATAGCGTTTTATCTTCTCCTAACCATCTATCACTCACAACCTTAATTTTTAACCTAATACATGTCTTTTATAAAACACTTTTTTTTTTAATTTACATTTATTTTTGTATATAAAATATACATAATGAAAATTTAGAATGTACTATAACATGAAAAAAATAACAGTAGAATCATAACATTTTTCAAAATAAGAATTTTTTAACTTTCTTTAGTTAAACATACCTGAGTTGTTGGATGAGATCGTCTGATGGATGCGAGATGCCATGGAGTGACTTGCCTACTTTGTACTAGAGGTCAAATACTCAAATGTTCAAAATTGAAGAAAGGATGATTTTATTGAGCATATAAAAATTTGATATTAAAATATTAAAAGTAGGAATTTGAAACACTAGATTGAAAATTGAAAACCTTAAAGAAAATTTAAGAATACAAGTTTTTTCTCAAACTTTCTTGAAGTTGTTTTATCTCCTGCTAAAACATACTTGAGGAGATCTTAATCTTTGATATGCTTTTATACTTGAATTTTTGAGCTCTGGACTTGAACATTTCTTCAATTTGTTGAAGGAATCTTGGAGGACAATAATGTTTGTCGACTTTTGTGTTCCACTTTGATTTGTCTTCTACTTTTTGAAAATCTTTTGTATCTTTATTTCTCCTGTTGCCTTTACTTTATTGAAATAGCTTTAATAAATTAATTCGTTCAAATAATCATTTTGTATTCTTTGGATTTTTATTTTCTTGATCAATTAATTCATCAATATCAGTTCCATAACACATGTCTTCATTGCTATATGCATGGTCTGATATTGAGTCTGATTGAGAAGAGGAATCTTTTGATCTTTTTGAAGCCGTTTCAGCCAAAGATGCAATTTTTTTCAGAAATTATTGCTAACTCTTCTAGCTTTTTGCACTGATTAAACATAGCCATCAATCTTTATTTTGTTGTGAGAAAATTGGCATTTTTCTCCAAATCACTCTTTGAAATTTTTGGAATACCAATATTTCTTTGTTCTTCTTTGTTCTTTAATCCATAAATTTAATGCTTTTGGACAACAATTACTTTCATGATAATTTTAAATCATCTTGAAATTTTAAAATACACAGTACTATACATAAAATCTCTTTTTTGATAGTGGAATAATTCTTCTGAGGGTCGGTCAACACTCCACTGTAGGGGTGTCAACGAGTTGAGCCGAAACTCGAGGCTCGAGCACGACTCGACCTTTTTTAAGTCGAGCTTTTTTAGGCCTGAGTTCAGCCAAGCAAAACCTTAGTCAAAAAATTGAAGCTCGACTCCGGTCAATTTTTTTTCCTATTTTTTTCTTCATGGGTTGCCTAACAAAGGTAGCTAGCAAGGTAGTGGCCTGTCAACTACCTTTTAAAAGCAGCAGGCTGCTGCTGCTCTTTTTTTAAGCTAGCTCGAGGTTGGCCAAATATCCCAAGATGGGGCTCGGCCTGAGCCGATCCATAGGCAGTCCGAGTCGACGAGTCAATTTGCCATCCCTACCCCATTGTAATACCTAACAAACTGTTTTTGATTTGACTCTTTTGGATTCTGCTTTAACATTCCATCATATCCTATGTCTGATGCATCTTTCTCAACAATAATAGAGGCAAGAGGGTCAATGATTAAAATGCAAGGAATATTTTTTATGGCTTGCTTTACTTTTTGTACAACTATTGTATGCTTGTGACTCTATGGGTTAGGATTTTTCTATAGCCTTATGAAAAAAGGGGAATAGATTTGACGTACACTTTTGACAAAATCAGCAACATAATTGACACAACCTAAAAAAGCTGCAAATTTATTTTATCTAGAATTCCATTTGAAAATTTATCAACAAATTCTAGACTTCTTTGAATTGGAGTAATGGTTCCTATATGAATGTTATGTCCTAGAAGCCTAATTTTTGTTTGACAAAGAATAATTTTCTTAGCAGAAACTACTAAACCATTATTCTTAACTACATGAATGAATACATTTAAATGTTTAAAATGCTGTTCTATGCTTTCAGAAAATATGAGAACATAATCTATATAAACAATAATAAAATTTCAGAAGTAATTGAAAATATCATTCATGATTTCTTGAAATTCTGAAGGAGCATTGAGACCAAATGACATAAAATTCCATTCATACTTCTCAAAGGGAATATTGAAAGTAGTTTTGTATTTGTCTTCTTCTTTAATTTGAATTTGCCAGAAGCCTGACTTCATATCAAATTTTGAGAAGATAGCAGCTTTGTAAAGTCTAATCAATAGATCTTTTATTTGAGGTAATGAATATCTAATCCATTGAAGAACTTTATTGAGAGGTTTATAATTGATAACGAAACGTGGAACACCTCGTTCAATTTTAGTAGAATTATTGATATAGAAAGAAAAGCAACTCCAAAGAGATTTGCTCGGCCGGATTAGATCTTTATCAAGTCAATCTTTAATTTCCTTGATACAATGATCTAATAATTCTTTGCTCATTTGAGTAGGACGAGATTTCATACGAATATTTGATTCATAAAAATCAGAATTGTAAAGAAGAGAAACCACATGTTTCTTTCTATCCTAAAAAGCATTTGGAATAGTAGACCAAATTTCTTTTTCAATTTCTTTTTGAAAACTTGAAATTTTTTCTTTAATTGAAGGATTTTGTAATTGTTCTTCAATTCTTTTAAATTTAATTTTTTAAATGAAATCTAATATGATTCTTTTTAAAATTTGTGTTCTTTTAAGGCATTTTATATCCTTATAAGAAGGAGGATTTGTAAATTTAATACAAATTTCTTGACAAAAAATATTTGTAGTCAAACTTTTTGAATTGACTTGAAAAGGATAAATTTAAACAATAAAACTAGTACCAAGAATTATTTCTTGATCTAAATCTTTTACAAGATAAAAAATATTTTTAAATTAAATATTTGAATTACAAACATTGACTTTTGAAATTTTATATTTAATATTGAGTTTTTTACCATTAGCACCATAAAGACGTTCAATAGTTTTTTCCAAATATTTTGTAGGGATTAATCATGCTCGGATACAATTTTGATTAGCACCAGAATCAATAAGGACGCTAGAAGTAAATTTGAATTCTTTGTTGACAACAATAGTTATATTGTAGTACCATTTTTGAAGTTGTATTCGATTAATTACATTAATCTTTTCTTCTTCAGATTGAGGATTTGAATTTTCATGAAGAATATAATCTTCATCAAAGGAATCTGAAGAGGAAGAAACTTTAGATTTTTGTTTCAAATGTTGAGTTTTGAGAAGTGAAACTTCTATACGAACATCTTTTAATTAATCTTCAAGATTGGGAATTTGGGATTTCGTAAGATTAATTTCTGATTTTAGATTAGAGCAGGAGGATTATGAAGTTTCATTTTGAAAGCGATTCATAACATTTTGCATATTGAAAGGCTTAAAAATAGTATTTTGAAGTTGAAGGTAAAAGAGTACTGAACTTATTTTTGAGCCGTGGATCATCAATTTGATCTACATTCTCTTTAATAAGTCCTTCTTGTTTAGTAAGAATATTTATAGTTTTACAATTACAAAATTCTTTACTTTGATTGGAAGAAGAAGAATTTAAGGTCGTATCAACATCAGAATCTTCTTGATGTTGATAAACCTATTCTAAATTAGAAATTGATTCGTCATCAGACTAGAACTGAAATTAATAAGATTGAGAAGTTCAATTTTAATATCTTCATCAATTTGAAGATTATTAATTTTTCCTTTCAAAGGACACTTGTTAGAATAATGTCTTGGCTTTTTATACTTCCAACAAGTAATATTAGATGTCTTTTTTGAAAATTGTCGTTTTTTGAAATTTTTTCCTAGAAGGATATTTTGAAAATTCTATTCTTTTGAATAAAATTTTCGTTTAGAAGAAAAATTCTTTATTTTTATTTTTGAAGGACAAACAATTTTCTCAAATCTATATTGTTCACAAAAAGATCCAAGTTATTTACGACTACCAAGTCTTTCTGAGTTCAATTTGACTTTGATCTTGAGTTCATTACAGAGAGCTAATCCTTATCTATTAATAAAATAGATTAATTCTCTATGACTAAGATTATCATGAGGAATAATATTATTATTATTATCTCTTCCTATTGAATTTTTGACTCTTTCTGAAAAAAGTTTTGGAAGTTAAGATAGATATCTTTCTTTCCAATAAGATTGATTATAATCATTTTGTAAAAAGACACGTGTTAACAAATCTTTATACCAACGAAAATCTTGTAAAGGAGAACAATTTAGATTAATCAAAACATCATATACTTTTTCTAAAATATTTGTAGGAATTCCAATAAAATATTTGATTATACTGTAAATGAGAATTAGTAAAACTATCGTTTGTACCATCGTCTTCTATAGCATTAGCAATAATATTTTTATTGTTTTCATTTAAATATTTGAATGAACTACCAATTATTTAATTGGCCAAAAAAAACCTTGAGTAATATTATTGGTATCTTGAATAGGAGTATCTCCTTCATGAATATAAGCTCTATAACAAGCACCCATTTGTTCTTGGAATTGCATAATTTGATATTCAAATAAACCATCTAAATTCCAAACAGTAATTCGTTTCCATAAAAAGTTGTGGGTTTTTGATTTTTTTCTTCAAAAAATAAACCTAGAGTAGTATGTTGAGGATCATAAGCTAGAATTTTTGAATTTTGTCCTCATAATTTATTGATATGAGAATTTCATTGTCGATAAATTGAGATTCAATTTAATCAATAGTATTGATGTTGTTTGAAGTAGAGGAAGAAGATAATTTTGATAACTGAGTTGCTAGTTCTTTCAGAACATTAAGCTCAGTTTCAAGATTTTTTGGAGTAGCCTCATGTAACTTTATTAAGGCTGGTTCCGTGATTTGTTTAGAAGATTTGAAGAAGTAGATCTTAGATCAAGAATTTATTTCAATTCTATTAGGTTGATAACATATAGATTGAAGAACTACGTTAGTGACTTAGTGTAGTTATTTTAAGATTGAATATTTTTGATAGCTTTAGCTACGACTTAAGAATCAACAAGTTGTTTTGTAAATATCTTTTTGAAGGGGACGCACAGTATTCCGTTAAAATACTACAACTTCTATATGAGGATGTAAAGATTGAATAGTATCACTAGAAGGAGTTTTCCAAGTTGTTTTTTTTTTGAATTATCAGTATTTTGATTAAATTTTCTTTTCAATTTTTTACCATAAACTTTGAAATAAACTCATTCATAGAAACTTAAATCTTTTGAAAATTCTTCATAATCTTTTAAAAAGATTCTCTTTCTTCTTTTGAAAAACTTTGTTGATTTTTATTTATTTATTTTTTTTTAAAATTTGACATCACACACACGCACATATGTATGTAGGCAAAAATTGATATGTCAGGTATATTGCTTATATCAATTCATAAATCAGATACAAAATTTAAAAATTCAAAATTCAAATTTCTATATAATTAATTGAAAATATTTACTAATTAAATATAATAAAGTCACAGTTACACGATTAATTGTCACAGATTCATAATTATCGGTCATAGATTTACTTATTGGTCACATATCATCGAATGAATTGGTTACAGATTATTTCGAGGTCACAGATGAAAAATTTATACGTTACAAATTATTTCATTGGTCACAGATAAAAAATTTTGTAGGTCACAGCTCACATCATTGGTCACAAATTCAAAAACCTATAGGTTGCAAGTCACATATTTTCAAATTTGATGGTCACGGATTACTTTTTAATGTCACAGTTTACGGTCACAATCACAGATTGGACCAAATAGTTGGTCACAGACATCCAACATTCGATCCCGACGACACCACCACCACCACCACCACCACCAACAACAACACAACCACCACCAGAAACCATCGTAGCCACCAGGACCACCACGATAGCCAAAAAACACTTCTAAACACACCCAACAATACACCACCTTCCTACCTCACCAACAACATTGCACCCATAGTACCACTAAACAGAAGCACCACCATCGCTGCACCACTACCACAACCAACAAAAACACTCCTATCCCACAGCGTCCCACCACAACCACAACCATCGCTACCGCTTCCACAACTAGCACCACAACCAACATGGCAACCACATCCTCCCAAAAACCACCAAAAGTGAAAGAGATAACACCCAAAATCACTATCTACTGAACGTAGTAGAAGGTCAAGGTCATGAATTTGCTTTGAGAACCAATCGACGACCATGTCGAGGCCCGATTGTACATCGCATATGCTTCAAGTGACGACAATCATCACCGCTCTTTGCGGTATCTACAATGATGCCGATGTTGCGAGCCACTATGCAATGATGCTCATACGTTCAAAGGAGGTCGTCGCTATGACGCTGTGGTCTCCGAAGATGGTGGCTATTCGTGTGATGGAGAGGATAGAGAGACGAGAGGGGGAGAGAGAGACTGACCGAAAGACGGGAGAGAGAGAGAGAGAGAGAGAGAGAGAGAATGAAAGATGGATTGGGATGAAAGTGGATTGATATATTTTTTGATTAACCTAATACCGGAGATTTGATTAGAAAAGTTGGGCCCATGATTTATGCACGGTAAACTTGAAATCCCTAGGACAGTGTAATTTCCTCTATGTATATATATACTTATGGGTTGGGCTTTCATTACTTTAATTGGGCGAGCTTCCATAACTCTTTTCTTAAATAGGTTACATTAACCAACTTAAGATTATAAAATTTGGGACCTCACAAAATCTAACTCAACACTTCAAACAAGGAAAATAATTCTTTAATTCTAGCAATATGCAGGTTACCTCACACTATAACTCCAAGCCTAATGGCCAAACTATGTGATGGCCTGCTAGTACAAAATTTGAAAGTTATAAGCTAATTTATTGAGCAGACCAAATGTACGAGTCGTATATAAGGAGAGGTGCGAATTTATCAATTAAGGGTAGCAATTGTAGAAACATTAGCATCAAAGTTGGAGATTCGAATAGCCAAGGACAAAATGGTTCAGAATCAAAATATTGCGTAAAATTGATAATGATCACCATCGCAGGGTTTCCAATGCCTCTTGGAACAAACTGTATTTTTGGACCACTACTAATATCCTACCATGTGGTCACATGCACGAGCACTGTAACTGTACATGGTGCTCATTCATCGTTATCTCTAGTGGCATGTACAACACGTGTTCCATACCATTACCTTTGACTCAATGTCAGGAGTCAAAATATGTCCTCTATTTTACCAACATGTCTTCTAATTTTCCATAAAACCCAATTTCAGTTCATTTGGATTTTGTTGGGTTTTGTGATACCCAATAATCTGGGCGATGATTTAAAACAGTTGTCGAATTATTTATCGACACCATGGACTTGGCTCGGCTCGGAGATGAACTACACTTTTGGATGGCTCGGGTTTGGGTTGGATGATTATTTGTTTAGTTGGACTATTCAGTGATTAATATAGAGTTGAATATTGGCCCATTAGTTTAGGTTAATTGGTAGCCCTCTTAGTGAACCCTAGGCCCAATTGGAGTGACCTAAACTAACCTATATATATGTATTTATCTCCCACCCATTTTGGTGGTGTATGTATATTGTAGCAATGGAAAGGAGAGTTGAGAGAAGAGATGCAGTCGAGAGAGAGGGAAGCCATGTGAGGTTGTGAGTAAGATTCAATCATTGTGATATCTTCTTCTTCCTCTCCATATCTTTGTGGATTGCTAACACCACCACCCTTCTCCTTTGTGGGGTTTGAGAGATTTTGGACAGTCCAAAGTGAAGGCGAAAGTCTCGGGTTGAATCGAGGTAAATCGGTGTTCGTTTGATTATTTTCTAATTCAGAAATCAAGATTTATCGAGAGATTTCCACTAGAAATGGTATCAGAGCTTGTGTTGTTGATAAATCTGTGATTTTTGAGGCTAAAAACGGACTGAAAGTGGTCAGAAACGAATCTGAAAATCAGAGGCAGAAACTGTTTAATTTTTTCAATTTTCTGCCGAATCTGTTTTGGCGTTTTATGGTGAAACCAAAAGGATTTTGGCAAAATGGACACTACCAATGGACTGTGCAGGCGGAGAAGAAGCCGAAAATGTGACAGGTTGCCGGCGCGTGGAAACTCCGGCGTAGGTGCGTGAGGATGTGTGGATGAGAATCTAGAGAAGTTATTTTCAGGCAGTTTGTTCCTCTCATTATTTTTAACATTTTTTGTGTTGGACGTTTTCTGTTTCAGGTTACGTAGAAAAAGTTGGATGATTTTGCCCTTGGACGTTCGGGTGCCGGGTGCTGTTTTCGTGTTGCTGTTGTTGTTGACTTTAGGATGAATAGTGATAGTCTTGAAGTAGTGAATTTACGTCTCTCGATATTTATGGACCTTCAGACGTGATCCGCTTGGTATCGTATTCTTTGCTTTTTATTATTGCAGTTGAAATAAATGTGTAGAGTAATTTATTTTTTGCATTAGAGGTCATCGTGTGGGGTGACATTAGGTTTGGGGTTATCATGAAAGGGTAACCATTGCCTGTTGCTAGACCTAGAAATTATTTGTTAATTATTTGCCTTAAATTATTTGTGAATTTGCCATCAATTTTTCTACATTATTAGAATTGCATGTGGCCTTAGAAAAGTTTACTGGACTATTCTATGTGAATTATGTTCATACTTTACTTGTAGTCATTATTTGGCATTGGTGGAAAATGTAGGTCTAAGGTAACTGCGAAAAATAACATATATTTTGACTGTGGTAAAATTTAGACAGTTGAAAGAGATTGTCCTAGGATGATAATAAAAGGAAACATGAGGATAGAGACAAGGCGAATGTGACTTTAGGGTCGAGTAGTGATCCTAGTGAGGTTTATTGAGAGAATAAACTTGGTTTTTGCATTGCATCTGTGTGTAATTCTCTCTGAATGTATATGATTACTTAATTATGTTGCAATGTTGATGTTACACTTTCAATATGTTTGATGTGTGTAATTGTATGAATTAGAGTGACTTATTACTTTGTGTAATATGTTTACATGCATAGTGGGTTAAGTTTTGTGGCGTACTCTATTTGCTCTGTGAGTGGTGTGAGAGTGTGGTAGTGAGAAGAAAGTTGGGTAACCATTTATCTCATTTATCTTTGTGAGCTCGCGTGATTTGTGAGATTATGTGAAGCAGCCATGTTAAGGTTATATTCTTCCTCTTTGTGAGCCTTCTTTGTGAGTGTTGTGAAGTAATTGACTCTTTTTTCAATTTTTCTTTGTGAGTGCCACCTTCGCCATTTTCTTTGTGGATTTTTTGGAGCTTTGGTGATTGGGGTAACCTTCGTGGTCACCGAAAGGTGTTAATTTGCCATAGTGAGTTTGAGATGCATTAATAGTGTGTTGTGTGTCTTTTGGTAAAGTGGGGTTTAGATGCCTAGAGGTGCATTAGTGATATGCACAAGGGATGTAGAGTGTGACATTTGGATCACGAGTGGAGATGTGATCAAATGTGTAGAATCCTTTATCTGTAAAAGAGACTCTATACAGGTGGAGTGTGAGAGAGG